AAATAATGAATTTCTAGTGGTGCAGTATGTCAGCAACTTGTAATCATTAAACCACATTTTTTGAACAATTCGATTTTGCTTTCCATGCTTCTTTCGGGTGTCTTGTATTCACAGAACAAAATGGCTCACTACTTCTTACCAAGCAACAACTTTCATTGCACAAACTTTCATAGTACATTTCACTGCCCAGCTGTTCTTCACTAAGTTCACTTGATTCTTCTTTGTCAAATTCATCTTCTGATTCTTCCTGGAAACCATTGCCTGATTCTTCTTAGATTTCATTGTCTGAGACTGAATCTGATTCTTAATCTTCATTTTCTGACAAAGATGACAAATCATGTTCAACTTCCTTCTGTTTATGAACCCTTGGTATCTTAGATGATGGTTCTAAAAAATCAGTCTGACTAGATGAGAGCCTTGAGAGGTTAAAATAATTGCTTAAAGTTGACTGTTGTGATGCCATCTTTGCCATGTCCCATGTGCTTGATAAGTGCAAATGCCAGCTGCTTTTGATAAGATGAGTAGCTGCTGATTAGATTAGATCATGCAAGACGTTGCATGCATGCATAATTATTCATTAACAAAATTGGTGCAAATTAGGGACTTAGGGTCATTTAAGTTATACATGCATGCTTATTTTAGGGGGGCCATAGCCCCCCTTGCCACCCTGGTTCCTACCCCTATGCTTTCTACTTGGCAATGAATACCGTGGCTTAAAAGCCGCGAAAAAAAAACCCATGTCTTTTAGTATTGAAAAGGGTAGGGAGTCTAGTGCCATCACTCAATCACTCGTCCATGCATTACTTGCGCTTTACTGTGATTGATGTCCCAGGTTTTTAATCTGTCTCTTGCTTCTCTTAAGGTCATCTGCTGGAGCGATGATTTCTGTTTCCCTTTCTCTAACAACTGCTTGGTCATTATTTTGGGTAAATTCTTTGTATATTTCAGTGTGCTGCATCTTGAGATGCTTCACAAGGTTTGTAGTGTTGAAACTCTTTGCAGTGTTTCCTTCTCTTGATATTTTATCACTACAGGTACTGCACCTAGCCAACTTGACGTCCTTGACATCAACTGTAATGTAATTCCAGATCACGGCTCTCTTGGTTCTGACCGCCACTGTAGCTACAGCATAAAGCTAATTATTCCATTTAAAGATCAGGTTGTTATGCGCATGTGCAAATGCCAAGTGGCTAACATTGTTCAGTTAAAATCAATTTTACTGATACGAATTTCATATAAAATCTCTGATATCAGCTCATACCAATACCAATATTAATATCGGTACAACTCTAGTGACCATGTGTCATTGTGGTTTCTCTATGTTGCACTCATAGAGTAAACAAAATTGCAGCGCTACTACTTTGCTTCGGAATATTTCTCCCACAAGACAGGCTCTAACAAGGTCAGGTTCTCCTGAGAATTCCTAGATCTCAAAGTCAAACACTACTAAACAATTAAAGCATGGTTCTCTTGTGCTCCAATTGATTTATCCGTGCTCGATACTGGTCTTGTTGCTACAAATAGAGCACTCAGCCTTCGGCGTCATGCTCTATTTTTAGCTACTCGACCGGAAGCTCATGCAGATGAATCTAATGGAACACTCAGACCAACGCTTTTAATTAATACATGTTACACTAAGGTACAATTCTTCAAACGTTCAATAAACATCACACCTCAAACCAGTAGTCATAGAGCCTTTCACTAGTGATGTTGGGCGACATACAATTTTACCATAATCAGCAATTGGTCTGGTTCACTTGTTTTTCACTTCCTCCATAATTCAATAGATTGTGGACCAAACCAATTTGTATTCATCACAATGTATGACATAAATTTTTCAATCATTGGAAAAGGTATGTCAAATGGTGATGGAGGCATTTTTTGACTTCATCATGTTGATAGGGTTAGTCAAAATACCATCTCTTTCAGAAAATTGGTGTAAAAATGACACCACTATAATGCTTTTGTGAGCCATGTATCTAGAAATCATTTTTTTGAGATTCGCAGATACTTTCCTTATGCTGACAATACACTTTTGCCGTCCAAATCACCATTTTACAACAATAAAGTATAAATTATTGTCATTATTATTACCTGAAAAGAGACAAGGGACAGTGCAGCATGTTCTAAACATTATAAAAGACAATTTTAGTAACCTTTACACTTGTGATAAAGATGTCGGAATCGATGACGCCATGATTCCTTTCAAATTGAGGTCAACCTTCATGCTATATTTGCGTATGAAGCCCATAAAATGGGGGTTGAATGTATGGAAATTAGCTATTGGGAAGACGGCGTATGTAGGTCAATTAAAAGTATACACAAGAAATAAGGTTAACTAAGTAGAGAATGGACCAGAGCATCTGTGGTAATAAACTTATGAAGCGATCTAATAAGGAAGTAGTACGTTATTGAAACTTGATCATAACATGTAATATCATAACACGTTTATTGTATTAGGTATCATCATCTCTATTTTGATAACTTTTTTCCAGTGTTGATCTTTTATGCAATCTCCACTCAATGAGACTATAATTGTGGCACTTTCAGGAGCAAACATAAAGGATTTCCACAAGACTAGACTAAAATCGTGTCATGAAGGGATTACCTAATAATGGGGACAGTAAAATATGACAATGTGATGACCTAACTGTATCCATGTAGCAAGAAATCAAGCCAGTTGTGGCAATAGCAACATGTTTTGACCCCCAAGAAATCAACTGGGTTCAGAAAATGTAACAACGGGAGCTCAAGAGTCACAGGCAAGAGTTGAGAAAATAATGGATTTAATGAAACAATCCACTGCTCTACTACATGAAGATGTATTAAAAAGAACAAAAACATATTTGCAAAATTCTCTTAGCATTATAACCAACCCAATATAAACTTTTCTCATCTTCATTACTTGTTGCATGTCTTCTTTCTGATTTGGAAGTTTCTGGTCCAGCAACATTTATTTCTTTGAGTCGTATATTGTGTCTATCGGCAAAACTTTCTGACAAAATTATGGTGAAG